ACGCGTTTCGCAACCATCGGTCAAGCTCTAGAAGAAATTGCAGAACAATGCAGGGGATTAGAACATATGGTTCTGTTCAACGCTCAAAAGCCAGAAACACAAGCCCTCCTGGCTTCTTTGGCTTCACCATCCGAACAATGCCTGGCCGCCGACTCACCAGCTGCACCCCAAAATTCCGAGGTTCCACAATCCTCAGAAATCGAAAACGCCCACCAGCAAGAGCTTCGCATGATCACGGCTGGAAATGCAAAAATCGGGCGAACCTCTCAAACTGAAGAATGCTCGAATGTTCCCCAATCACTTCCCGTTAAGATTCCACAGGTCTCGAAAATTGGAACTCCGCGTCATTTGAGACTTCGGAAACTTGCCCTCGAAGAAATGGAACATCTACGAGCAGGCTTGGCCTCTGGACCTGCCGACAACCAGCCTGGACGTCAGGAAGTTCCTGAAGAAGTCGCCAGATCGTTCAGATCCTCCGAATTGACAGACGCTCGCCGCGAGAAGCGCCGTCAACAAGCAGCAGAAATGAGGGAGTCGATGCAGTACGATCCATTTGCAATATTCTAGGCAAAATTCTTGCATCAATCATTGCCACTTCTCTCTAAATGCGACTTCGATCTGGAAGGTGTAGACCAAGATTCCGAAGGTGTACGAGATGCCTTCCAATCATCAACACGCCTTAACACAATATACCCTTTACAACACGGTACGTCGTCGACAAAGCACCTAAAGGCCTAGCCCTACTAACAAACTGACTTGCAGTATCGGTTAATGTCGCGGCAGTCTAGTTTGCGAGACCGACTACAGCCTTGTCTCGTGAACAGGACGCTGGACGCATGTACGCAAAGGTATAGCCCCATCACGGCTCTTCTTCATACTTCGTTCTACCAGTGTCGATACAATACTTTGCTGTTCATTACCGACAACGACCAGCTTCGCTGGCCACAAGGCAAATTCTTTTATATAGTACAAAATATCAAGAGCTCAAGTATTGTAGGTATATATACATAGATGAAATTAATGTCCCCGATAATCTGTAACCTTATACAACCTCAAAGGTAGCGGTGCCGTGAATATCTATCGAGCTACTGCCAACGGCGAACTGGAATTGGCCCCTCTCGACCTCATACTTCATCGCCAAATTCCACAGCCCCAAATCAGCCACCTTGATCACAATTCGAACATTCTTAGTTTCCCCAGCTTTCAACGAAACCTTCTTGAACCCCTTCAACAGCTGGTTAGGCGTGGTAACACTACTGACCAGGTCCCGCACGTAAACCTGCACGACCTCCTGCCCATCGCGGTCGCCGGTATTAGTCACGTCGACGATGACAGTGACGGTAGCGGTGGTCTGCGCCTCCGCATATCCAACCGAGCTCTTCGACAGCTTGATATTGGCGAATTTGAACGTCGTGTACGACCGTCCGAAGCCGAATGCGTACCATGGCACCGGGTTATTCAGAACATAGTTGTGTCCGAATACAATCGTACCGTTATCGTACTCCTTGCCGGGATCAGGCCAGGAGCGCGCCGAGTTAAGGTAGTCGTAGTAGGCAGGGGTCGTGCCGACATCATGAGGGAAGGAAACGGAGAGCTTGCCAGAGGGGCTGTAGTCGCCGAATAGGATATCCGCGAGGGCATTGCCGCCTTGCTCAGATGGGTAGAACTGCTGGACAAGCGCAGAGGTGTAGTTTGCAATCCAATCTTCAGTTATCGGCTTGCCAGAGGAGAAAACGACAACGGTGGGCTTCTTGGTGTCAGCGATAGCACGGACGAGCTTGCTTTGCGCGCCGACGAGATTGAGAGAATGGACGTCGACATGCTCGCCAGTAGTAGCGTTAAGTCCTTGCCAGAGCTCGTTCTGATCGCGAGACCAGGTGCCCACAACGACTACGGCGACGTCAGCGGCCTCGGCAGCAGCGATAGCCTCTGGGAAACCGGAGTCATCGTTTGACCAGCGCTCGCAGCCCTTGGCATAGATGACATTATCGTCACCAATAGCAGCCTTGATACCGTCGTAAGGTGTCACACCACGCTGCGATGACTTGTAAGGAACATAGTCACCGTACTGCAATATCTTACGTTAGCGGAAGCTTCCCTAGCAGCTTGGGGGGCTAGGTGGTCTTACGTTCACAAAACCGTGGGCCATCGGCCCGATGACGGCAACCTTTGCGGTCTTGGATATCGGAAGAGTGTTATCGTGGTTCTCCAAGAGGACAATGGATTCACGGTCCAACTCCCTTGCAACAGCAACGTTCCTGTCGGTGTGGACTTCATACTTGATTGATGTATTTTTCACAGACGCATACGGATTCTCGAACAACCCGATCTTGAACTTCGACTTGAGCTGCCGAGCCACAGCCTCGTCGACGACACTGATGTCCAGTTGCCCGCTCTGCGTCAAATTTGCAATCGAACGGAAATTGAAAGAACCGCCGCCCATCTCGACGTCCGTGCCAGCTTCCAGGATCGTCTTAGTAATACATTCGCGGCCAGCTTGAGTGGTCTTATCAGGGCAAGTCTTGAACGCATCCGAAAGACGGTCAGTGCCACCAGCGTCACTCATGACATAGTACTCGTACCCCCATTCGCCCTTAAGAATGTCCGCCAGGATGTGACGATCGGCGACAGTTGGTATTCCATCGTACGCTGTGTAGCCAGCCATGATGGCCAAGGCACCGCCTTCCTCTATCGGTTTCTTGAACGGAGGGAGCCAAGTTGTCCGAAGTTCTCGCTCCCCTCCGTGGACTGGTGCCGTATTCACACCACCTTCAGGGTTACTAGCGCCAACAAAATGCTTAAGCATAGAGGAGACGTGGCGGTTTTGAAAGCCCTTGACGATGGCTGTGGAGATTTCGCCTGCTAAGAACGGGTCCTCAGAATTGCATTCCTCGACTCGTCCGAACCGGAGCTCGCGGGCAAGATCTGAAAGCGGAGCAAAAAGCTGGTTGACCCCAAAGGCAATGGCTTCCTTCGCAATGACATCCGCCATCTTCTGGACGAGGTCCGGGTTGAAGGAGCATCCGAAACCTATGGGAGAATTGAAGATTGTGGCATTTGGCAGCAAGAACCCGTGCAGACCCTCGGTCTGGACAAAGGCCGGAATACCCAGACGAGTCTCCTCGACGAGGTACTTCTGTCCAAGGGTAATGCCCCGGGCTGCCCAGTCCCACGGAATTGGAAAGCCGACGTAGAAAGAGCCCTGTTTGTACTCGAAGTTGGCTTCCAGCGCGGTTCTGTTGTAGACTCCAGTGTTGATATTGAGCCAGTTCGACATGTCACCTATCATGCTGCCATTAGCTACTATCCTTATGGATAACTAATGCAGGAGCTTTTTGGGACATCTTTGAACTTACCCTGCATCAATTGACCGAGCTTCTCCTCAATCGTCATCCTTCCCAACAGGTCTGCAACTCTGTCGTCGATACTTGCTTTCGGGTCCTTGTACACCGCATTCTCTAATGATGTGGAACCTTGAGGGGCTGCAAGGGCCAATCGGCCTGCTACAACGAGCAGGCCACCGGCGAGAGTCGAAACGCGCATTCTGAGAGACAATCGACGCGTATGTCCGATAGTCGCTTTGTTACGCGTAGCTAGCTGCGCTGAAGATCTCACGGACGTTCCAGGCTCCAAAGCAGGCTCAATCCTTCCTTTATACTCTGCGCAATCGATCCCATATATCTATACTCTCCATACCGGATCCCGGGTTTACCCCATCGTATGCAGCGACCAGGTGAGCAACCAAATTCCCAGTCCCTGACGACATCGGCATTTGCTGCGGGGAAGTTATGTTTCTTTAGCCATTCAGCCGATATCGATACAATTGATCGAAGGCCGAACAGTACCGTGGGATAACAGCAATATCCGAGAGGTGCAGGTACAGAGCCGGTGAATACGCAGGGTCATTGTACCTTGTAGATCATCTCCCTCTTGATATATATGCGACTGAGACAGCCAAAGTATCTTCGGAGAGCAGAGCAAATGCAAATATCTGGGATCCTGCGTCAATGAAATACCGACATGGAATACCGCCCTGGTAGATTGCCAGCATCATTAACCCGGTTTTGTATCGTTGTATTGCGCCGTAGGTCGTTTATATTGTCAACATTAAGGGCATGCGGATTCGTGGAAACTGAGATATATTATTCCGTGAGTCGCAGTCCCAACGCTATAATCCCTGTTGGATTTTGACGAGCAGTGTGTATAGCTGTGGGCTTCGTAAATTACCATGTCAGTTACCCCGGGTATTATCAAAGTGGGCTGGTTAGCTCGGATCAACTCGTCCCGCGAGATAGGTTCAGGAACTAACTAGCCGAGGGTGCCTCTTCCAGAGCGAAGCCCTCTTAGCTTTTTGTATGATGGAGATGTTTTCAGGAAACGAACCGTATTCGACCATGGTGCATCGGTGGGGAGTTCCGTGGTTCAGTTTCCGTTTTGCCTAATCCCATGCCGTCTTTTAGCCAATGCGACTCTCGAGTCTTTACATGTTCAAAAAAATTGTGAGAGTCGTCGGTATCAGCCTATTTCCAATGAGTATCGTTAGGCTGCGAGTGAGCAGGTTACTGACCGAAAAATGGTCCTGGAAACGTGCTTTCGTGCTGAGGGGTGTTTTCATTGATCATTCAATGTCTGCGTTCGCCAATATATGATGTCAATACATCGAATTGAAGTGCAAGCTGGGCCTTGCCCCGGCTCGTCTCCGTCCGACTCAGCGCCCCGAGATTATCCCGAACTGTCACTCAAAGCAACCTTCTTACGCCATCGATTGTGCACCCATTTTCTACCCCAATTGACCAATATCAAGCCCATTTTATTGGTATCGATCAGCCCGAAGCCTCCACCGTTCTCACACCCCTCCCAATTCCCTTGACGAGCTATTCCACACAACACACGTTTGACAACAGTTGGTCTTCACAAAAAGTCAAACTCCCCTAAGAACAGGCCAAAAAGAGACCCATCCAGAGAACGAATGAGGCAAAAAGAAATCAAAAAGAAATCATTGATCGCGACGAGGATCGAACTCGCAATCTTCAGTGTATGACATCCAAAGCGGATACCGAAAACTGACGCCTTGCCATTAGGCCACGCGACCTAGACAATAGCCGAGGTCCACTGATTGTGTTATATAAGCTTTTTATAAAACTTCATCCGACAAGATTGAAACCCATTGAAAATGGCTCGAGATTGGAGTGTCATTTCAGGCCCGTGACTGGTCAGAGTAGAGAGCTCCGTCAAAGAGTGACTTGGAAAAGTCAAAATCGAGGGGAGATCTACTCCCTCGTTTGCTGGTTCGACTAGGCCTTGTGATAAGTTCTTGAAAGGTACTCTCAACGCAATATAATATGACCATGTGCATTTGCCTTTCGAGTTGGCCAACCATAGATACAGATAGCACTGCCAGGATACCGTAACCAATGGAAATATTCGTAGGGCGAATTGAAGCAAATTCAATGGAAAAGCATACAGCGCATTGCCGTCTTCCGTATTCCTCCGGGGTCATGCACGTGAGAGGATGGTTACGTACGCGTAGCATTGGCGGCGCGGCGCAGCTCTTGAGACACGAATTTTTATATTGATCGGCGTCAATAAGATATTTCATTTGAATTTCATACTTTACTATTGCAAAGACATTTGAATCAGAACATTAAGTGGGACAGAAGCATTCACAGGTAGGTATTTCTTTCCTTAATCAATTCTCTCAACACGCATCGCAGGGACGTGTTAGTTGAGTGCTAATGCATAATGCCTTTTAGCCAACAACATGACCAAGAACCCTGTATTCGACCCATCGGAGCTTGAAAATAGCACAGTTGCTGTATTTCGAGAGGAATTCGATTCAGAAGAAAGCTGTCTTTCGAACGGAGACGAACAATCCACAGAGCCAATTTCCGAAGAAACTCTTGAGCTCCGCGGGGAAGATCCTCCGGAACCTGGATCCGTATACATTATCAGTGAATCCGATACTTCGAATGTCATCACCAACGAGAGCGGTCGGATAAATTTGTCAGAATTTGGGGGAGTGCCTAAAAAATCACAAAAATGGGTTTGCTGTCGCTCTGGAGGCTGGCTAGGCTTCACGAATGACGCTGGCGACGCTACAGTGTATCTCGGGCATGATATTCGGGGAGTGTTGATTTGCACAGCAACCTGGCACCTCCCATGGGAGCACTTTTGCGTCAGGAAAAGGGCAGCCGGCGGGTTCGAGATTCTGATGAGGCATTGGTTGGGAATGCAGCCTGTTGGACATAGGTATGATGGTGCGCTTCTTGGGAAGAGAGAGGATGCAGACACTTGGTGGAATTTTACGAAGGTTGGATAGCTCTAGATATGTGCGCATGGATTCTCATATCTTGTCGAAATTGGAGTAAAGTAAATTGAGGTAGTACATATAGTGGGTCTGAGTTCTCGCTTCATTTTTATTTACTTTGTTTTTCATTCCATTTTTAGCGTTCATTTTTACTCGCCATCGCAGTGTCGACGTCGAGATAGCGTAAATACCTGCAGATAGGCGGCGTGGGACTCAACTGCACTGCGGGGATACAACATAGTCAACACACTCTTCGGGTGTTTCTGCTTCGCACCGGTTAATTATCAAGCTTCATTCAGACCTGGGATACACATCCTGAAGACTTGCTCCACAGCTCCATATTCCTCCTTGACCCCATTGAATCGTAAAGTTTACTCCTCAAAAAGCCACAATGTCTCCAAATACAATCACGGTAACCTACACTCAGCTAGCCAAAATGATAGACCACTCCCTCCTCCATCCGACCCTCACGGACGCGGATGTCCTCGCCGGCCTCCAACTGGCGCGCACTTACAATGTCGCCACCGCCTGCATCAAACCCTATCACATCCCTCTTGCAAAGGAGACTCTCGCCGGCACCTCCGTCCTCGTCTGTCCCGTCATAGGCTTCCCGCACGGCAATAGCACAACGGAAGTCAAAGTCTACGAAGCTACAGCAGCAGCACAAGCCGGCGGCAAGGAAATCGACATGGTAATCAACATTGGCAAAGCACTCGGTGGGGACTGGACATACGTTGCAGATGAGATCCGCCGCGTAAACTCCGCCGTCACAGCACATGGCGCCATACTGAAAGTAATCTTCGAGAACGATTACCTGAAAGATGAGCACATCGTCAAATTATGCAAGATATGTTCGGAGATAGGTGTCGCTTTCGTCAAGACGTCGACTGGCTATGGGTTTGTCAAACGCCCGGCTGGAGCGTACACGTATAAAGGCGCGACGGTACCGCATCTTAAGCTCATGCGCGCGCATTCTAAACCGGAAGTACAGATCAAAGCTGCTGGAGGGGTGCGCACGCTCGACGACCTGCTGCATGTCATGTCGCTGGGAGTGACGAGGATCGGCGCCACAGCCACCGTTGCGATTCTGGACGAGGCGAAGAAGCGAGGGATTGGTGAGGAAGCGATAGAGGTGGAATTCAAGCCTATGGCAGAGGATGGTGGATCCTATTAACTCGGATTGTAGATTCAATGTATAGATAGGCGATTTTTGCACATCGATATTTTGGCATATCTACGAACTTAGCATTAGATTGACCCATCATTTTACGTTAATCTCTGTGGTTCAGTGGACGTCTGGATTGTCACCCGGGTACCCACGTTCGTCTCGGATTCTCGTCAGCAATTCACTGCCCGTAACCAAAGAGTTCAATGGCCAGTCGAACAATTATCTCAACGATTGGTATGGCATGACTTAGGTGACATGGCCGATGAACTGCAGTTAACTGATTGAGATCTTTAAAACAACCAATCGAATCAAATCTACCCGGAAGACGAATATCGCGAATGCTAGGTAGTCATATATTCATTCACAACCTAGTTCTGTTTTAAGAATTGATTGACCTGAAGTAGATCCCCATCTATGCATCCATCTCGCCTGAGTCGGTAGACATGCATGGATATATATTTAAAATCAACGTATAGTATACATGCATATCGTCGACCCCCATAGTGAAGCCAATTATGGCGCGCGTATTGTCAAGCCCCCAGTGCACCGCATATGACCAAAATTACTACTCCGTCCATCCGTCAAACCCCGCCAAAAATGCCAATCGAAGCCCCAAAGGCACATAACTCGACGCAAAAACCTCCCAATCCTCCCGCCTCCCAAAATCCCACTCAACAGCACCCCGCGCCCGATATATCGCCCACAAATGCAAAACATCACTAAACACCATCCCCGCAACCGTCACCCGCCACACCATCTTGTCATTCGTAAAGCGTAGCATCAGCCCCTCGACGATCGTAAAGTGCACATACGTCGCCGCCAGGTTCGTCAGCGCGAGCTGCGTGGCCGTCGTGATCGGGTCGTTGGCCGCCGTGGGGACCAGTTTGTGAATGTAGGTTTGTGGCTCGAAGTGTGTTAGGTAGGCGCCGCTGAGGGCGAGGACGGGTTCGATGTAGAAGAAGAGGAGCTGGTAAATGAAGCCGTATTGACCCATTGTGGATATATAGACGGATATCTCAATGTTGTATTTGTGGATATATGTGGCGCTAGTTTACGCGAGGCAATTGGCAAGATAAATGGTCGATGGAGGACAGTTTGGACCGAGAAATAGATTATTATGGGGTGCAAGCGAGGCTGGAGAGTGGTGTGCGGACGGCGAAAGTATATACTATATCTCATGTACTACGCAGCTGAACGTGAACTCATAAAATGTCAGCGTAAATGCAAGCTAACGTTTGTGATGGTGTAAGCGTGTGTGACACGGCAGCGAAGTGGAGCAGTCAGCTACGAATTTCATTTCCGAAAGGATTCAACTCTCCAATTCAGCCGTGGAATGTTATGCAGCTTACTCCCCTCCTCAACCGGATTTGTGCAACCGCGTGCCGCTCCCTATATATTTTATATATTGTACAAATACATCATTCTATGCATACGTCATGGATAACAGCACACTGAAATGCAAAGGAAAAGAAGCGGGGTATCGTTCGTTGAGACCCGATCTGTCCGTGCCGTCGCCAACTTACTCAAATCTCAATATGCATGAATTTGATGGTTGAAACAATGGAATACGCGTCGTCTTCACAGACACAGCTTCCAATTATCTTTACTCTGATTTTGAAATATTCGTGTCTATATGTCATCATGTATATTAAGAACCTAGAACAATCCATCAACGTCGCCAGTCTCGGGATCCACATCGATCTAGAATCGAGGCCGTCAGTAACAATGCTCAGCAATTTAATGATACCAGTGGATTGCAAACTCACCATCATGTAATTGGCCGCAGTCGGCAAGCCTAGTTAAAGAGTATGATCAGCAAGAGACTCATACGGGCGCGATGTCCAGTCAATTTGACTTACCTGGGATCGTTTGAATATCTGCTGCAAGGGCATACAGATATCCTGCGCCGGCCGACAACCGCACATCTCGAATAGGCACAGTAAATCCTATAACACGCATTAGCCACCATCCAATTCCCGTGTGGCTACGATATATTATGATAGATAGTATAGGGATGAAACCTACCAGTTGGCGCGCCCTTCAAGCTGGGATCATGGGATAGCGAGTATTGTGTCTGCGAAGACCACGTTAGCATAACTCCATACACAACATACATCCACAACTATAGCTAGCGTGAATGACAGATGGAGACAGAAATTTACCTTGGCTATACAGATAGGCAAGTCGGAGTAGCCTTGTCGTGAGTAAGTCTCGATCTTGTTCCGTGACAGCTCGCTCAGCTCGACGCCGTCCGCACCATACATCTCCTTCGCAATTATGGCTATCCGCTCCTCGATCGTGCCGTCAGTATTGTAAAGGAGCTTGAAATCCTTAGCTTGCGTGGAAGCCTTGATGACGCCGTTGGCAAGGTCGATGGCGCCGCTGCCGCCCATTGCCCAGTGGTTAGCAGGGATAGCATCCTCCGCACCGGCCTTGATAGCCTCCTCGCGGATCACATCGTGTTCAGCATCAGTATCAGTCCTGCTCATAGTCAGTATCAATTCATTGGATCGGTTGGCATTATACAGACTCACTCGAATCTGTTGATGGCGACTACGACGGGAACTCCGTAGCTCTTCGCGTTTGCAATGTGCTTGGCGAGGTTGACGCAGCCCGC